CCCCAAAACCCCAAAACCCCAAAACCCCAAAACCCCTGTCAAACCAAATTATGTTGAGGGTTTCTAAGTAAGATACCATGATGCCTTCATGGAACATATCTGGCGATTAACCACCAGTTGCATCCCTTCATGACGTCACAGAGCCTACTTGTACTACACAGGTAGTAGCAAGCGGGATGCTTAGCCCAGCTTGGTGCCCTGAATGCCTTGGTGGTCCTCTAGCTGATCAGGGGAGAAATTTATGAGATTAGTGTCTGTTTGAGTTTGGTCAAATTTTGTATCAGCTGGTGTAATTATCGATTTTAAGAGGACATTGTTGAACACAGTCTTGGAAAGATGGGGTTTAGGGTTCCTAGTGTGTGATTTTGCAGTTTTCAGAGTCTTTAGAGCTGCTTTGGGTTGTATTTTTGGGGTCTTGAGAGGAATAGAGTTTGTGAAGGTATTAATTATAGACTATGGGTGAAATGAGGGTTAGGAGTGCAGATAAGGTACTTTTGAGGCGTTTTGAGCATTTGGAGCGGGTGGTTTGACTAGGATAGATCTTAGATTTTGACGATTTTTTGGAGTCTTATTTTAAACTGATTAGAGGAATTCGATTTCTGTGATTAGTATGCTGGCCAACTTGGACTATTTGACTAGAATTTCCAACTTGAGGATCCTGGAGACTATAAACTCACCAATGTCTGTTACTTTTTAAATACATCTAGAGGGTTCTCCTTGACATAACTATTAAACTGAGTTTTAATTGGAGAAGGAAACCTCCCTACTAGTGAAGACGACGCTAGGACCTTAGTTGAACCCTTCCTTGGGTGAAACAACTTTGAACTCTGACTTTTCTTCGAACTCAGAGAAGAATTAGCAAGCTGGTTAATAGAGTATATCCTTAGCAGAGAAGACTCCTTGAAGGAACTCCTATTCGACCTTCGCTGGAACAACTTCTTGGTTGTTTTGGTGTAGTTGTTCTCACCTGCCTTCTCGTGGGATTTTTGGTTAGTTGACTTCTTCGGGTATAGAATGATTTGATTATTTAGGCTAAATTCCTTAAATAAAAATTCTACCTTTCTCTTGTTCAAACTAGAGGTACTGTTTATAACTTCAAAGGCTTATGTTTATATCTTTCATGTGATGCTAGAGATATTTTTAGATCCCAACCACCAAGTGACTTACTTTTGAGTGTTAATTTAAGGTTCATGGTGGGTGAGCTCACTTTGTGCTGTACATTATCAAACAGTGAGTTACCACTACCTCAATGAAGCCAAGGTCCTTACTAAGTTTCTTCCTCTTAAAGTGCTCAGCTACATAATTGGTGTCTATTTTTCCCTTTTCAAGGATAGAATTGTGATGGAATTTGTGATTTAGCGACATTTTATATTCAATAATATTAAAATCATAAGGGGTTTTGGGGTTTTGGGGTTTTGGGGTTTTGGGG